GCAATCACTTGTTATGCATCAGAGAGTTGGACAATGACCAAGGAGGATAGAAGGAAAATTGATGCCTTTGAGATGTGGTGCTGGAGAAGAGTATTGAGGGTACCATGGACTGCTAGGAAAACAAACAGATTCATCCTGGAAAGGGTCAAACCGGGAGGCTCCTTGGAGGCAAGGATTCTGAGGCTCCATCTAACATACTTTGGACATGTTGTAAGGAGGGACCAGTCCTTGGAGAGTGACATCATGTTTGGGAGGGTGGAGGGACAGCGCAGGAGGGGAAGGCTCTGTATGAGGTGGATTGATTCAATGACTGGGGTAATTGGGATGGGTGTGTCAGAGGCAATGCGATTGGCACAGGACAGAGCAGAGTTTAGGGCTGTTTGTACATAGGGTCGCTATGAGTCGCAAGCGACTCGACGGCACATAACAACAACAACAACAACATCTTACTGGGAGAGGTAGAGCATTAGAGAAAGAGAGGGAAATCTTCAACTAATGGGCTGGAGCATTTCAGATAGCATGAGGATGGTGTAGAATAAATAAGGCAAGGTTCAGCAAATTTGAGTGGTAGTCAATTCAATGGTATGTAACAGTAACAAGCTGTTGTTTTTAAGTGCAGTATCAGTTGTAGCAATTCTATTAACAACAACTCTGAGCCGTGTTCTTATCGTGTGCCATCCTTTATCGTCTCTGATATACTTGATCACATTGCTACAGCCACTTAGTAAATCTGTCTAGTTGAAGGCCTTCTTCTCTTTCGCTGACCCTCCACTTTTCCAAGAATGTGGTCCCTCTCCTAGCAACATGACCAAAGTATGAGATGAAGCTTCACCCGCCCTGCAAATCGTTGCTATCGCTTCACCACGACCAGCAGGGGGCAATGCTGCCATCGTGAAAACACAGACTGCCCTCCTCGCGGTGTCACTTTTCATCAAGCCCCCAACGTACTTCCGGTAACCTCGGAACTTTAGTGCCGGCCGATGTTCAGCGTGGGACGCAGACGCGCACGGCGGCGGGAGTTACTTCTGGCCGCCTGGCTTCTGTGAATTGAGTTACGGCTGCATCGTAAAAATGGAGACGATTTTGGAACAACAGCGACGATATCATGAGGAGAGGGAGCGGCTCATGGACGTCATGGCAAAAGAGATGCTCACCAAGAAGTCCACGGTGAGTAGGCTTGGGCAGGGGACTGCCTGTGTGTCTGGGCCCCAAGCCCCGGCTGTTACGTCTGGGCGCTCTCTTTGGCCAGAGACCCCCATCTCCCTTTCCAAGTTCGGGTGACCCCCGCGACCCTGCGCCCCCTTACTCCGGGGGACTCCCTCGCCGGGCCCAGGCCTCGGCAAGCTTCCCGGGCCCAGCGCCCTTGAGGCCTCTGCTTCTGCCGCAGAGACCCGAGAGGTAAGCTCCGCCCTCGGCGGCTTTTCCAACTCCTGCGCCCGAATAACGTCGTCTGTGTCACTGTTTGCTTTTCTTCAGCTCCGGGACCAGATCAATTCTGACCACCGCACACGGGCCATGGAAGATGTAAGTGCTCTGCTGTCCTTTAGATTGGTGGGCGGGACAAAGAGGAGTCTTCCCCTCCTAACCGGATTGACCAGAGTGGGAGCTGAACATGAATGTACTGGGATGCTCTTTGTAGCTTTGTGAATGGGGAACTCTTCTTAGTCTTCCTTACTCAGAGACGCCCCTTCCTTGAATGTGTGAAGAAAGATGAGGCCTTATTTAAATAACAGTGAGAAGAGCTTTTGAGTTGAAGAAGCATAACCAGTCCTACTTAATTGCTTATCAAAATGCTCAACTTCAAAAAATCCTTGTAAGCAATTGGAATTTTGATGGTAATTATTTGATGGCAAAATTTCACCTGATGTGGGGTGGGAATATGTGTTTTTGTGTGTTCGGTGTAAATTCACCTCTGTAGAGCAAGAATTGGCTAAAATGGTTAAAATGGTGAGAATTGAAAAGTAGCATTCGTTCAGTCCACAGATGCTTACTTTTTTTAGATTGTGATTTGAGTGAAAGTTTACAGATTGTTTTTTCATAACATTAATTTCCATATCTACAGTGTTCTTGCAGTGTACCCCATTTCTTCCCTGTATTTCTTGTTTCCATTAATCCTTCCACCTTGCTGCTTCCTGCTTTCAGGGCATTATCTTTACCCAAATGCTGCTTCCATGGTTGGTTATTCTAAGGAGTATGTGCTTGTCATGGATTGATGGCCAGGCCTTTCCTTAGACATGTGAATGGTAGACTTGAATCACCAACATTTCAATTAGTAGCAGAATTCATTAACTGCACTTTCAGGGCAGTGCAGAATGAATAATTTGAAAATTTGGACACTATGAAGAAGAACTTGGCATCAGCATCAGAAGAAGATTCAACTACCCATGTTACACAGATGACACAACCTTTCTGCAAGTGAGGAGGACTTAAAACACTTGCTGGAGAGGATCAGAGACTACAGCCTCCAATCTGGGTTATATCTCAGCATCAAGAAAATAAAAAATTTCACTACCGAGCCATTAGGCAGCATCATGATAGATGGAGAAGAAATAGAAATTGTCAATGATTTCATCTTGCTTGGATTTACAAGTAATACCCTTGGTACCAACAACCAGTAAATTAAGGTATATTGCATCAGGCATGTCTGCTGTCAGGGACCTCCCCAGAGTCCTGAAGAGTAAAGATGTCGCTAAGACTAAGGTGCACTTGATGCAAACCAAAATCTTCTCAGTTGCTTGCTGTGCAGCTTAAAGTTAGGCTATGAATAAGGATGCTAAAAGAAGAATGTATGCCTTTGAGTTGTTGTGTTGGAGAAGAGTACTGAGTAGCCCATGGACTGTCAAAAGGACAGATATGTCTTTGGAAAAGTGCAGTCAGCATGCTCCTTGGAGGCAAGGATAGTGAAACTTCATCTCACATACTTTGAGCATGTTGTTAGGAGGGTCCAGTCCTTGGAAAAGGATATAGTGTGTGGAAAGGTGGAATCTCAGCAAAGGAAGGGAAAGACCCTTACTGAGATGGGTTGACACAGGGACTATAATGATGGGCTCAAGTATGTCAGACGGGCAGAATGGCACAGGGTAAGAGGAGGCTTTAGATCCATTGTTCATAGGATACTATGAGTTGAAGTTGACTCAACAGTGTTTGGCAACAACAGCATGTCCCTTCCTGGTGTTTTAGGTCACTTGCCTATTTATTGTTTGGCTGCAAGTTAAGCACAGGTATGTGTCTTGCACTGTCTGGGATGCTGAGATGCAGTACCCGCCAAGGCAGACAAAACCCTTGCTTTTCTGGAGATTACATTCTAGTGCAGAAAGATACACAATGAATAAAGATCAAATATGTCAATGGTTTCAAATAGTGACATGTGCCATAAGGAAACCTAAGGTAAAATAAGGGGTGAATGCATTGTGGTAGTGCCACTTTTATTAGATAAGAGAGTCCAGGAGGCTTGAAGATGAAACTTTTGTATACACCTGGAAGAAGTAAGAGAGCAAATCACATAATTGGTGGGAAAACATCATAAACGGGGGAAAATGACAAATGCTAGAGGATGTGTTTGAGCTACAGATTAGAATTAGGCAAAAGGGGGGGGGGAAGGCAAAATGAAAAAGAAAATGTTTGGTACATAGCTAAATAAACCTCTTGGAAGGATTCTGAGACTATAGTAACCTGACAAATGCTCTCTTACCTCACTCCCAACATCAACAACATTAATTACTTCTGGGCCCTTTGGCAGTTAAAGCCTATGGGCTTCTGTGAGAATTTTAGGGAGAAGATTTCTGGGCCGCTTTATTCCAAGAGGTAGGCAGGCATCTGGAAATCAGAATTAATCCGCTCAAGAGGGCAGGTTCCTACAGTGAGTGGTCCTGGGAGGGATCTAGGGACGTTTCTATAAGCCTTCCAAAATACTCTTAGTTTCCCTGGGCAGAAGATACTTTAGGAGTCTTCCATCTTGCCGCTAGGGTAACACAAGGATGGATTGCAGTGTAGTGAATTGTGTAATAAGGCCTTTCTAACCATTGTCTTAGTTACTCTCACCACAAGGCTGGGTGGTGATTAGGTGCCATTGAATTGACCGTAATTTATAGCAACCCTTTGAATAACAGGTCTGAACCTTGTGCTATCCTGTACCAACCAGCATCACCATCTCTACCATGCTCAAGCCCATCGAGCAGCTACTCTGTCAGTTCATCTCATTGAGGATCTTTTTATCTTTTGCTGACCCTCCACCTTTCCTAACATGATGCCTTTCCAAGGACTAGTCCTTTCATGACAGCATGTGAAATGAAGTTTCACCATCCTTTCCTGTAAATAGCACTCTAGCTGCTCTTTCCTCCAGTATTGATTTGTTTGTTCTTTTGACAATCCATAAAATAATTCAGTACTCTTCTCCAATACCACAATTCAGTGGTGTTGATTCTTTGGTTTTCTTTTTCATTGTCCAGCTTTCAGGTGCATGAGAAACAATTGAAAATACCAAGGCTACAGATCTGTTGTTAAGGTCTCTTTAAAGTGCTGAAGAGCAGGGATGCCAGTTTGAAGACTTAGATGTACCTGATCCAAGCCATCGTATTTACAAGGTTGGGTAGGACTATGCAACTGTTAGGTGTTTGTGGCCCACCAGAGAGATAACCAACTAATAATGTAAACAAGATAAATGGCACCTCTTGGGTAGGATCATACAAATAATATGTGTAATACAGTTAGGTGGAGCTTGCTCAGTTTTGTGTTGGGCTACCTACATTTATCAAAGACAAAATATAAGGCCCTCATTAGTGTCAGGGGAGAACCAGAGAGTGTAGCACATCCTTTGGACCTGAGATCTCTGTACAGATCAGGTGCAGAGAACTGTAACACCCAAGAGGTTATGCCAGATGGTAACAGAAATAGCAGTGGCAGCAGAAAATCAGAGGTTGATCAACATGATACAGCTTTGGGTACCTGTGCTACTAGTGGAAAGAGAAAGCGGAATGTTTGCTGACAGAGGGAGACCCTTATGGCACTTGGCTAGGGGTGCTGTGGAACAGACCATCAGTTGCTCTTATGTAAGTTCCAATTGAAGCTGAAGAACATTAAAATGAGGACACAGGAGCCAAAATACAACCTTGACCATATCTTAGCTGAATTGAAATAATCTGCAAAACACGGAACTCAATTCCCAAAATACCTATTGGAACTACAAGTTTTTCACACATTTCAGCAGGGGAAAAACCCAAACTAAGTTCTAGATCCATAATTTAAAAATTTATTAATGTGCCAGAACAGTGTTTACATAAGGATACTTTGCCCTAAACACAGCTTCTAGTTTAGCATTGGAGTTTCTATTTCTGGAAACAGCACATAGGTAAGTCTTCAAAAGAGCACAGTACCTAAGGCAAAAAAAGTCTTTACTATCGTTTGACTATAAGTAGAATTTTAGGAGATTGGTTTCATCAGGCTCAAGGTTCAGAGACAGTCTCAGGGCATATAGCTTGATTGAGTCACCTCAACCTTCATGAAACTCAGCTGGATTCCATAAATATGGAAATGCCAGTTTTCACTATTCTCACTTTCAGTAGGGAGCATTCGGTGCCTTAGTGGTAAGGAGTTGCACTGTCATCCTAAAAGCATATGGTTTGGATCCACAAGCTGCTCCACAGGAGAAAGATGGGCAATCTCCTGTGATTTACTGCCTCTGTAAACTCGCTGGAGGGTCAGATCCAACTGGACAGTATTTAACAACAAATAGCTACAAAGAGCACAAGAACTTAACATCATGTTCTTGAAAATTTGGTTGGCCTTGACTTGAGAGCCATTATTGCTTGCTTAGTTTTTCAGTCATACAAATTACTTCATTCTGATGGGTCTGTGTTTGCCTTTCAGAGGTATATGGAGGTCAGTGGGAACCTGAGAGATTTGTATGATGATAAGGATGGGTAAGTGAACATCACATTCCGTGCAGGAATAGTTTTTTTTCCCCAGGAGCCTTAATTAAAGAACTTATTTTGTACTCTGTGCTTTTGGAATTTTTGTACAAATAACAGATTACGAAAGGAAGAACTGAATGCCATTTCAGGACCCAATGAGTTTGCAGAGTTCTATAATAGACTCAAGCAAATAAAGGAATTCCACCGGAAGCATCCAAATGAGGTATGAGTCATTTTCATATTGTCTCCAAACCTACCCAGAGATGAACATATACATTATCCTCAAAGAGAACAGAATAGATGTGTATTTATAACTCAGCTACTACTTAATAGTCTTTCCTTTTGATATTTTAAATTATACCAAAGCTAGATTTTTCTTCTAAAGAAAATGAAGGTGTACCACTTAAATGCCTCTTTAAAAAGGAATTTGCCATGTAGCTAAAAATGTTGTTAGTAATATATGGAAAGCAGTAATATATAAAAAATGTCGCAAACGGTATTTACAACCTAAATACTTGTAGTATTCTTCCCAGCTTCTCAGCCACAGCACAACTGAGCAGGGTCCAGCCACTGAGTGAAAACATTGGTTGGGAGCTTAGTCATTTCGGCCCAATTTGGGACTCTTCGTGATGAGTAATCTTTGCTCCCAATTAGGTTGGTCAAGATTTTTTTCTCTCATGTTCCGTATGGTTTAGGCTTTTTCTATCCAATCCTACTTTCTTGTGGAGTTCTGAGACAGAGAGGATGTGAAGGGAGAATGTCAGCTTTGTGCCTTGGAGCACGCTCATAATAAGGTAATTAAAGGAAAAGGATCCTGGGAAGATGTCTGTCACAGATCAACTGACTGCTCCATGTAGTGTTATATTACTGAAATGATGAAAAGAATTCTGTAAAGGGAGTCACTGGTATCACCTGTTGCTGGTTTCTGCCTGAATTGCAATTTCACTAAAGTAAAAATTCAAACTCATTACTGTCATGTGAGAACCAACTCATTGCTGACTCTCCAACAGGTTTTCAGAGGCTGTAAATTGCATAGGAAGAGATTGCTCATCTTTCTCCTGAAGAGCTGCTAATGGGTTTGAACCACCAGCCTTTGCATTTGCAGCATAGCTCCTTCCCACTAGGCTACCACATCTCCCTATGAAATATGTAGAAGATAGTTATTTATAAGAACACAAAGAAAAAGGAAGAGGCTTAAAATAAAATCAAAGAAAGACTGTGTTAAGTAGTTTGCAGAAGCCGATGTTACACATATGCACATATATTCTGCTTTTCTCTTTGATGGTAAAGTATCAGTTCATGCTTTAGCTAAAAGAAAACATGTTATTCCAGCCTTTGTAGAAAGGCAATGAGGAATAAATGGTTATAAATAGTTGGAAGGACACAATGTGTGTAAATGAAAATCTTTTGCGCATCTAAGTATGGATATATGCTTGTACAAATACGTGTATTAAATAAGTGCTTGTATCCAAATTTTGAGTTACTTGCAGATACTGTGAAAGTATTGATGCCCATCCCTCTTCTGATTTAGTTAGTATGAGATACCAGAAGTTCTTAAAGTTGCCTCAGTGTTCTAATGCAGTAAAGTTTAGGAAACCTGGACTTAGGAAAACATCTAAAAGTATAGGAAAACATCTAAAAGTATGTAGACTTAATACTTGTTCTCTTTTGAAGAGACATAATAAGGGGGAGTGGGAGCGCTCTTTTACCCAGGGAGCCCTGGTATTCCTGTGGTTCAGGCATTACGCTATTAACCAGAGGTAAGCATTTTGAACCCACAGACTGCTCTGTGGGATAAAGAGGAGGTAGTTGGCTTCTGTAAACACATACAGCTTTAGAAACTCTCTGGACAGTTGTACTCTGTCTTTACCAAACAAACCAAACCCTTTGGCACTGAATTGGTTCCAACTTGTAGAAAATCTCAGGTTTCTGAGCCTGTAGATCCTAAAGGAGACTACCCATTCTTCTCCCACAGAGCAGCTGGAGATTTGACCTTTCAGTTGGCACTACACACTGTGTCCCCAGAGCTCTTTAGCATTTAAATTCTGTGTCTTTGTAGGGAACTGACTCAGTGGTAGTGGGTTTCATTTTGGTTTTCTATTTTCCTTGGGGGGTGGGTGGGTGTGTGTGTGTGTGTGTGTGTGTGTTTTGCTTTGGTTTTTGGTGCGTTTTTTAATTATTTTTCTAATTGTGTTCCATACAAGGCATCATTTTCATTACATTTTATTCATTTATATTGTGGGTTTGTTTTATGCCCTTAAAATCATCCCACCAACAATTTTTTATTTTTATGAAACGTGTAAACCAGCTACTTCATACTTAATGCCCTAATATCCCCCTTTTAGATAGCCAGTTGCTTGTTTGCCCATTCCTTTGTTGAAGGATCTTCTGTTTAGCTTGGGAACTTTGAGCCTCTGCATCCATAAGCATCGTGCAGCCCAGAGCAAGCCCTCAGGTTGTAGCAGTCAGCCTTAGTTCACGGCATGGATCATCTCTTCATCTGGTTGGGTTCTGGTCAAGTCATCCCCAGCCATCTGTGGCTTGGTTTAAATAAGCATCTGCTACAAAGTTCAGAGTCCACATTTCTCCCTGTGTTCCAGACCTCTTGGTCTCATCACTCAGCCCTAGCCCCCTCATAGAGCCAAGTCGAGTCAATAGTCTTCACAACTCCCTTGGCTCCTCAAGCCAACAAGTCCCTGTTTATCCATGCATCTGTGCATAGTAGATGGGCAGTATTGAAAGAACGGGTCCCAGCTCAGCCTATTTCTCCATTGTTGTATTTGTTTTTTTATAAGCATGAATTACTGAATTCTTAGTCAATATAAAAGTGGGAGAAGAAAAAGAGCAAAATAATTGGGGGAAAAGCAGTAGGCCTCTACTGAGAAATCAAGGCTAAATAAAGAATTAAAAGTTTAATTTCTGTACCGCCATTCTTTTGACATTGCAGCTTTCATGTTGAAAGATCTAAGTAAATGTTTCTCTTGCCTCAGATCTGTGTGCCAATGTCAGTGGAGTTTGAGGAGCTCCTGAAAGCTCGGGAGAATCCAAGTGAAGAAGCACAGAGTAAGTAAGGTCTAATATGAGTCGCAGGCGACTCGACGGCACATAACAACAACAACAATATTACTCTTTAACACCGACAGAGACACACTTTCATCTTAAGAGCCATGGAGAGCAGGACTCCAGGAAAATTTTTTTTTCCTAAATTTGTGGTGCAGACATACACAGCAGACATTTTCTAATTAACAGTTTCTTCAGAGAAATTTTTGCCAGTTTCTCTTGTTTGTTTTTTCTTTGCTGATTTTTTTTTTTTTTTGCCAGGGCCCCTCAGATCCCCAGGTGTCAAAGGTCCTGGGGGGCACTGTGTCCTCAGGAGTTCTTTGCTGATTTTTGGGCTACATTGATTGACATCCAAAATTGTCCCTGGGAAGAATGTTCTTTTTGTGCTAGCTTAGTTCAGATGTCAGTCTGGAGTCTAAGGTACACCTGATCCAGGCCGTGATCCAGGCTATGGTCTTCACAGTTACTGGCTATGCATCAGAAAGGGCAGTGACTATGGATGACAGAAGGAGAATTAATGCCTTTGAGCTATGGTGCTGAAAAGAGTATTGTATACCATGGACTGCTAGGAGAACAAACAGGTTCATCCTAGAGAGGGTAATTCAGGCTGCTTCTTGGAGGCATGGATTCTGAAGCTTCATCTGACATACTTTGGGCATGTTGCAAGGTGGGATCAGTCCTTAGAGAGGGACATCATGCGGAAAGACAGTGCAAGAGAAGACAACCCTCAGTGTCTAGAGTAATGGGGGTCGGTGTGTTGGAAATAATGAGGTTGGCACAGGATAGAGCAGGATTCAGAGCTGCTGTACATAGGGTCACTGTGAGTCACAAGTGACTCAACAGCACATAACAACAACAGTTCACATTGACTGGCCCCAAAAGCTGAGGTCACTTTACTGGAGGAGCATAGGGAGAACATTTTGATGAAGACCTGCCTCATGTAACAAGGAGCAAATGATGCATGTGAATAACGTAGTCCATGAAAGTGATCTTTAGTGTTTGACTCATTGATGATTCTGATTCCTTCAGACTTGGTGGAGTTCACAGATGAAGAGGGATATGGCCGTTACCTTGATCTCCATGACTGTTACCTCAAATACATAAACCTGAAAGCATCTGAGGTAAGACGTAAGAGAGGGGAGGATGGTTCTGATTCTACTGCTGGGACAAAATACTGGGATGTTTAACATGAAGCCTCACAGAGTGTCATATGAACATTAAGTAGTACGCAAAATCAAAGGCCAGTTTCTCCAAAGAATACACTCACACATTATTACCTTTGTAAAACTAAAGAAGGGTGGAGACCCGCAAAAGCATCCTTATCTTCTGTTACCCACACACAATACTAGGTATGTAGCAGATAGAGAAACACAGTATGCTGAATATCCCATGGACTGCCAAAAGAACAAACATAAATCATGGAAAGGATGCAATCAGAGTGCGTCTTAGAGGAAAGAATGACGAAGCTTTGTCTTTTATACTTTGGACATGTAGTTAGACTGGGCTATTCCTTGGAAAGGGACACCATACTTGGAAAGATGGAGGGGCAGCGAAGGAGAGGAAGACCCCCCCAACCGGATGGATTAATAACAGTGATTTAAGCAGGGGGCTCTAGTATCTCAGAGATGGTGAGGATGGCTCAGGATAGTTTCAGGTTGGTTGTTCACAGGGTCATTATGGGTCGTACTGGATTCGACAACCCCTAATAACAACAGCCAGCAAAATGTTGTCTGAAAGACCCTAAAAAACCCAACTTACTGCAAGAGAAAAAGTTTTGTTTTCTGGGGTTTGTTGTTTTTTTTTTTTCTGAGAAAAAGTTTTATATGACATAAAGGACACAAGGATACGATTAAGTTCCTTGTGAAGTAATGAGGAAATGTTTCAAAAGTACAGTGACTAAACTAACCTTCATGAGGTCAGATCTCTGTACTGTCCTGTGTTCAGTATCTGTATACACTTGCTACATTTCTGGTTGCATTAGCAAATAATGGCACCTTCCAAGACCTTTAAGTTTAACAAATGTGAAATTCCTTAGTCAAGTGCTAGCATGCAGTAAGTGTTCAATGCATGTTTGTTTACTATCTATTAATACCTATTAATAATCTATTAAATAATTACTATTATTTCACATAGTTAACTATGCAGACATAGTTAAATCCAGTAGAATTCATGCCACAATTAGTGTAGGAATAAAATGACTCAAGTTGACTGTACCTTGTTCTTAGGTAGGAAACACTCATTTTTATCTCTCTTTGGAGAATATTTTAATTAAATCTTATATCATCTCTTTACAGAAACTGGATTATATCACATACCTATCCATCTTTGACCAGTTATTTGACATTCCTAAAGAAAGGAAGAATGCAGAGTATAAGAGGTAGGCATTTATTATTTTTTAGGCCTCTTCTGGATTGATTGGTAGATTATTTAATACACACATTTAAGGTTAGACTTCTAAATTTTGTCACCTGAAAGACATATTTGACTTCAGGTTTACTAGAAAGTAGGCCTTTGGAATGACATGGTGTTTCTAAGACATGTGTCTGATGTGGGCACATCCATGATCGTATACCCATAGTTAGATTTTTTTAATAAGATAGGAATCGAAATTTTTCATTTTTATTTTTATTGATTTACATTGAAATTCATAAACATTGTAACACACACTTTTCTTCATTGACATTGTGTTTCATACAATCATTCCCATGCATCATGTTTTATAAAAGTAATCACCATAGAACTATGCCCACCATTATCCTGTCTCTTCAGGTGCCTGTCAGATCTTTCTTATTTCCTTTACAGCCTTCCTTCACCCATCAAATTGTGTGACCCTGTGCTTTTCCCCTCTACCCCTACCCTTCCTCCCTTAGGCCCTCATACACAGTTTACTAGTTATCCTTCTATTTTTACAATAATGATCTTATGCACTATTTATCCTTAGAAGACTAATTCACTCAACGTAATGCTCTCCATTCTCTCCCAAGTTACATAGTATTTTTTGAAATAGTTGCTCCTGAGTGCTGTGTAGTATTCCGTTATATGAATGTACCATGATTTCTCAATCCTTTAGATTGCAGTTGGACATTTGGGCTGTTTGCATGTTCTTGCAATTATGGGTAATGCTGTTATGAACATTGGTGTACAAATTTCTGTTGATGTCTCAATTCCAATTTCCTTGGCCTATATTGGCAGTAGAATAGCTAGGTTGTATGGAATTTCTTTGATCAGCTTTTTGAGGAAGCACCAAATTGCCTTCAAGAATAGTTCTACCATTTTACAATCCCACCAACAAGATAGGAGAGTTCCAGTCTCGCCAAGTTCTCTCCAACATTTATTGCTTACTTACTGTCCTGTTAAACTTCGCCATTACTATTGGGGTGAGATGATTTCTCACTCATTTTTGATCTCTCTTATTGCCAGTGATTTTGAACATTTTTTCATGTGTCTTTTGGCCATCTGAATGTCTTCTTCTGTGAAAAATCCTTTTCATGTCTTTTGCCCATTTTGTAATTGGGTTATCAGTCTTTTTTTCCTTGTGGAGGCCCTGTACTATTCTAAAAACTTTTGTTATGAGACCCTTGTCTGAAATGGTATTGCCAAATGATTTTTCCCAGTAAATAGGTTTTCTTTTTACCCTATTGGAAAAGGTTTTTAATGCACACAGAGATTTAATCTTTATAAGGTCCCATTCATCAGTTTTATCCTCTCTTGGTTGGTTGTACATTTCTGGCTGTATTTGTGAGCCTCTTTATACCATAGGCTAGGGCTTCTAAGCTTGGTCACACTTTGTCTCACGTTCTTTGTGATTTTGGGCTTTACCCCTTGTTCTCTGATCCACTTTGAGTTGATTGTATGGTGTGAGATCTGGATCCTGTTACCATGTGGTGAGTGTCCTAGTTTGCCCCTTTTGCACAGGCAAAAGAATTGTGCCCAACAGAAGAGACCAGAGAATAGAACAGTATTCAAGTATCAAAGTAGACCAGCACTTCTAGTATTTCTTTGGAGAGCAGAATTTAGTGTCTGGAGCATTATAGACCGAAGCCTTTTATTAGATCACAGGCACGAGAAGAAAGAGATGAGGAGGCAGAAATGAGGGTAAAATAGTAATGATAGATTTATTAGAAAGTTACATCCCCAAAGGTGCAGACCTCCTTCATTGAAAGTATGGCCTTAATCTCTGCACAGGCCGTGGGGCTCAAGTCTAATAAACCACTGAGAAGATGCCATGGAGAGTCCAAAATTTAGTGGGCAATTCTTCTGGTCCCTATTCTCTGATGTCATTCATGCACCCAAAAGGTCCACGTCCTCAGACATCACTCATGCTTCCAAAGTACTATTTCTCTGTGTGTCAGTATCTGCTTTCTGTCTTCAATGTAACTTTTGTCTCCCCCATATAATTGGTTCTGATCTTAACATTCCTGCTTCAGCTTTCTGCAGGTAGCAGTCCAGGTTTGCCAGCACCATTTGTTGAAGAAGTTGTTGTTTCCCCATTTGATAGGTTTTGTTTCCTTGTTGATTATCAGTTGAGCATAGGTGGGTTAATTTCTGGGTTCTTGATTTCCTTAATTTTTTAAATGATTGGGTAAAAATTTAGCACGTTACTTTCCCATTCAATAATTCATACGTATTTTGTTTTGTAACTCTGATTGCATTTCCTACCATGTAAAGGCACTTTTCTCATTTCTTCTCCCAATCCATTTGTCCTTTCCTTTTCCTTCTTGCTTAATGCCTAGACAAATGCTGCCCATTTGCTTTTGTGTAATTGATTGCTTTATGGAGTGCACACCTCCCAGGTGTTACTCACCTTCTAGGTTTTTATTATTTGCCTGTAGAATGAGTCAGGGAGCAAGTGGGAGTAGGGTAGGCCTATCATTTTGAGGCCCAAAATAGTAACTTAGGGCTGTAGTCTTAGAGATCCCACCAGTCTGTCAGACTCGTAAACCTGATCTTTTTATGATTTGCAAATTTGTTACGCATTTTTCTCCTAAGCTGTCACTGTTGTGATCCCTTTCAGAGCAGTCAGCAGAGACAGTAACCAGACTTCATTCATTTCTTCTGGCCTCAGGATGGTGGAGGCTTGTCCATTACACATTTGGACTGATTGTTTCCTTGTGTTTTTTTACCTTCTTTACTCATCTTTGCTCTGGGCAGGGAGAGAATAGTAGTTACCCCTCAGATGGCTGCTCACAAGCTTCTAGGAACCCAATTGCTACTCACCAAAGTAGAATATAATCTTACCTGGTTTAGATTTTTTTTTTTAGATTTTGTTTTTGAATGTAGAAGAAAAGTCCCCCATCCAGAGACCTCGTAACTTTGGAATTTAATGAAACCAAATTCCACCTTCTCAGATTGTGATTAAAGCAAGGTTCCTGGATCTGATGTATATATAAATTAGAATTTATGCTTGTCTAATGTCCTTGGTTAGTGGTCTGCACCGTAACTATGGTACTTTTTCAGATTTTCTTAACTGAAATCTTTTATGTATGGAATGAGTCAAAACTTTCGTAATTGGAATTGTGTAAGGAGGAAGAAAAGTGGGAATGGTTAGCATTGAAATTATATATTGGAAAAAGAAATTATGAGCTGGATTTAAAAACTAGTGTTACTAGTTTTAGAAAAATACTAGAAATAGGAATATATTCTATAGAGTATAACAATTTATCAGAAACTTTTTTATTAATTTTAATGAAAGTTTAGAGAGACTTAGGTTTTCCAGTTATTCATTGAATTTACCAAAACATTAAAGCTTGTGCGTGTGTTTCCTTCATTTTTGTGTGTGTGAGTGGAAGTTTACAAACCAGATTGGTTTTTTCTTTTTCATGCATTTTTTTTAATTAATTTTAATTAAAGTTTACAGAGACTTAGGGTTTCCACTCATTCATTGTTGCACTTTCTCCCTCACCACCCCCTCCCCACCCAATTCACTTTTCTCCTTGATAAGTAAAAGAAAGACTTTCATTGCTATGCTTTCCCTCCCCTCAAATCCACTGCACTGTGCAGCCTTCATTCTGGACTCCTGTCATAACAATAATACCCAATCATATATCCCTTATAAACAGTTCTCTCCCTCATCTGTTGCAATGCAGTATACATCATTCCTCACCTTCTTCTCTGTCTTCCCTCAACCCCAATGTCAGTCCTGTTTTACATTAGTGACCCTACACAATATTTGTCCTTTCGTGACTGAGATATTTCACTCAGCATAATGTCCTCTACGGTCATCCACTTAGCATAATATTTCATGAGTTCCTTGATTTTCAGTGCTACATCGTATTCCATTGTGTGACTATACCAGAGCTTCTCTATTCATTCCTTTGTTGATAGGCACTTGGGTTGTTTCCAGCTCTTTGCTATTGCGAATAAAGTCACAATAAACATGGGTGTGCATATATCTGCTTGGGTAGCGATTATGGTTTCTTTAGGGTAAATTCCCAGTAGTGGTATTGCTGAGTCAAATGGTATTTCTATTTGTAACCTTTTGAGAAAGTGCCACACAGCTTTCCAAAGTGGTTGCGCCATTTTACACTCCCACCGACAGTGACCTTGCCAGCTGTGGTGACCTCGCCAGCCAGCGTTTGTTGTTTGTCCTGCATTTTTTTTAATAGCATTGATTATAATACCTATAATGTAATTGCACTCTTCCCACTTCCTCTTTGTAACTCTCATTTCTGTGAATCCTGTTATTTCTTCCTGCCTTCAGGGCTTTGTCCTTGGGCAAATGCTGTTCTTTTAATCTTATGTGCTTGGTTCTTCTAAGGAACATATGCCTCCTTGATGTTACTACTGATAACTTTCTAAGTTTACCTCTTAATTTGGCTGAGAGTTGAGCCACATGGATGAGTTTTATTTCAGGTTTGAATGCAACTAAGAGCTGTTTCATCTCTGATTTTTCTTCTAGTATGTTTCCATTGAGATTCTTGTCTTGCAAGTCACTGACTCCTACGTCTCTTCTGTTTTACTTTTTTGTCCCCAGCGTGTTGTTCTTCCATTTAGGTCTTAATATTTTGGATTGCATTGTTATGCATTTCTGTTATTTCCAGGACAGTGTTGGCTGTACCCTCTCTGTGTTGTGATGATATTTTAAATTCTTGTACCTCTTTATCTAGAGTTTCATTTCTTTCATTTTTTGCATTTTCCTCCTTGGTTGTGCAAGTTCCTCCTCATCAATACTTTTATTCTGGCTCCCTGTCTCTGGAGTATTTGCATTCTCAACGGTTTCCCTTGTTTCTTCCATAGCTATTTAAATTAGTGGGTTCCAGTGGTCTGAAGCCTGACCTTTATTTTGTTTAGAGGGAGCTCTAATGCCACAGTACGTGGTGAATTCCATTCCTGACCTAAAGGCTACAAGTTTCTAGTGGCTCAAATCCACCAGTGGCTCCCCAGGAAAAAGATAGGTTGTCTCCTTTTGTAATATAAGGTCTCATGGGAGCTCTGGTGGCCTAGTGGCAAGAAGATGCACTGCAATCCCAGAGGCGCACGGTTCAAATCCACCAGATGCTCTGCCGAGGAAGGAGGGGCAGTCTCCTCCTGTACCAGTCAGATCTGATTTGACGGTACACATGCACACACACAAATAATAAAAAAATTTAAAAAAAAGAAAGGAAAAAATATATATAAAAGGTCTCGGAAACGTAATGGAGGGCCCTGATGAGCTGGCCACTGTCTAGTTCTCTGGTCTAAGAGTTATGGAAGTTGAGGTTTCAGTGTTCCATGAGTCTCTTGGACTAATTCCAGAAACCCTCTATATTTCATACTTCTCTGTAGGTACCTAGAGATGCTGCTTGAGTACCTCCAGGATTACACAGATAGAGTGAAGCCCCTGCAAGATCAGAATGAACTTTTTGGAAAGATTCAGACTGAATTTGAGAAGAAGTGGGATAATGGCACCTTTCCTGGATGGCCGGTGAGGTGCCTTGGAAATGTGGGTGGAGGACATAACAGGAAATTGAACTGATTATTCTCGGATTATTGATACTCTGTTAGGACAGTAGATATTGTGCCCCTCAGTATCACTTATTCTCTGCTGCTAATGCAAGATTTCTCTGTCTACTTTGGAAAAGGTTTGCCAGGACCCCCTTGGGCCCAGGTTTTTCACCAGCCATGTTGTTATTGCTGTGTAATTCCTACTGATCAAAACCTGATGAAATTAGGTGCTAGAAATCTCTACTATATGTTTCACTCCAGAGCATAAACTTGAGTTTTTAATGAACTCAGAGAGAATGGTCCACCTTGGGTTCTTTTTAAGCCTTCCACTCCTGTAAGAATTTGACCTTTGTTTATAAATATGTATATGAAAGGGTCTAACTAGTATCTGGCAGTTTAGATGATTCCCTTAACTTCATTCTAAATCTAGATTTTAATAAGTACTATGTTATTCTTTTTGCCAGAAAGAAACAAGCAGTGCCCTGACCCATGCTGGAGCCCATCTGGACCTCTCTGCTTTCTCCTCCTGGGAGGTAGGCTTCCTATTGCCATTATACTGAGCTCACTTGTTCAGCCTTTTAAGGGGCCATTTAAGCTCTTGTTTTTAGAAGTATGGTTATATTATAAGACACCAGCTCCTAGGACCAGACATCCACAAAGAATATGAGAAAATTAAAACAAGAATGATGTAGCTTTTAAAATTGTGTAATATTATGTCTGCCTATATTGAATTGGAGGTAATATAGCAATACCAGTAAGGTTAATTGGGAACTGGGTCAGTCTTTTGGGTAGTTTGAGATTGGCTTTGGAATGTGTAGTTCTGCCATGGTCTCGGGAACACTTAACCACCAGCCTAAGACTTGTGTTTTGGTATTTGTTGTTGCCCAAAATGTATTTATATAGTATTGTAACCTTTTCCTTTTTTGTACAGGAATTGGCCTCCCTAGGTCTGGACAGATTGAAATCTGCACTCTTAGCTTTAGGCCTGAAGTGCGGTGGGTAAGAAGCTCCTTTTTGGCTCACAACTACCCTAAGCTTGATTTTTTTAAGTAGCTCTGATTCTATTCTTTGTGTCACCCAACACTCTCAAAATGAGCACATGTGTATGATGAACTAACCCTGGAAGTCTTTGCTCTCCTGCCTCTTTAGAACCCTAGAAGAACGAGCCCAGAGGTTGTTCAGCACCAAAGGAAAGTCTCTGGAGTCTCTTGACACGTCTCTGTTTGCCAAAAATCCCAAGTCAAAAGGCACCAAGCGGTGAGTGGCCATGTACCTCTGTACATGTCTTCCCCCCCCCCCCCACTCTTTATTCATCTCCCCATTCACTCTAGAAAATGACAGTGATGGCTTTTCTAGATCTACATTCACAGATAGCAACAGATAGTTTTTTGGTATGTTGATAACTTTCCCTAAAACACTTAAGTCCTACTCTGTCTTTCTGCTTGAGGGCTTTTTCTTGCACATGGCTTTTTTATTTTATTCTTAAGCAAAATTTTTACAGTAAATTTTAAATCCGATTTTATCATCTTTGGTTCATAGAAACCCATTCCAGTCTGTTTCCAGTAATGACAGAGAATATTGTCAATATTGTTAATATAAAATCAAGAGCAATGTGTATGTACTCAGGAGATGGAGAGGTCTCTAAAGTTGAAATAGCACTCTAGGGTCCTTTTGTTCCCTTGGTAGGCACTGCAGATTAAATTGCTAAACCTGTTTTTGCTAATGACAGTTGAATGTGTTCTTGATCCACAATAGGTAAGGGGTAATTCTTCTGTGTGTGGTTTTCCGATTCTTAGAACAAAAGTTATTATCCTTAAAAAAGTTACTGTTACCCATGTTCTCATAATCACTTAGCATCTTGACTGCAATTTGAACCTAAGTCTGCTTGATTGCAGAGCTGTTTTTTTCAACATGACATTTCCTTAGTAGATTATAATGTTGAGAATTTAAATATTGTTGCTAAGCCTTTCATTTTCTAGAATGAAGTCAAAGAGTTAATGCATTCCAATCAGCAAATTCTGAGCTGAACAGAGCATTTGCTTTATTCCTATTTGGAATATTTAATATAACTGCAGAATAAATGTTCCTAGATATGGGGAGCTAAGTATTAAGTAAAAGAAGCTTTGAATGACACAATTTATTTTTTGTTCTCAGAGACACTGAGAGGAATAAAGACATTGCTTTTTTAGAAGCCCAGATCTACGAATATGTAGAGATTCTTGGGGTGAGTAATTGATGTTTTGGTGACTAAATGCTACAAGGTATGGGAGTGAAAGAGGTGGGAATTCAGGCAACGTATTTTCTCAGTGTTTAAGAGAGCATGAGGGTAGGTACTAAACTGTATGAAACTAGAAGAGCAAAAAGTGGGGTTCTTTTAGGGTCCATGTCACTTCAGTAAGTCCTTATTCTTCTGGCAACTGTATTCCTAAGGTTGCCCAATTCCCACGAAGATAGAGGTCTCCAGGTCTCCATTGGGTCTCAGCACAGAGAGCAGACTTCTTCTCAATGTAATATGCAAGGTGGTGTCTTAGCTCTGTATATCGAGGTGACAGCCAAGAATTACGTGCCCAAACGGTAGATAACGGCTACTCATAGCAGCTTTTTGTGTATGACTTGCTGTGTAAAATAATTATTTAGTTCCTTACGGAATTGTAAGAGACTTCCTAAAGCTCTAGTGTTATTATGTAAAGCTGGCTGTAGGCTAGTTTTAACATATTTCTTCAAAAAGGAGCTGAAGGGTAAACCAGGGTAAGGAAAAGCCCTAGCTTTGACTCAGGTGCTAAGATACCTGTCTTAGAGGGGAGGGGGCAAGAGTAGGCTGGAAGTGGATCTTTTTCAAGGAAGAAAAGGTGGATGAAAGGATAGTGCTCATCCACGGGAGAGTTTGGTTCTGTTCTCATCAGGGACTCCTGATAGTGTCATCTTGTGTGTTTTCCACTTGCCCTTTGCTGGGGTGGAGGAAGAGGTTGTGTGTGGCTCTGGTTCGTCGCCATCTCCTAAAGTTTCCATGTCTGTCAATCACCATGGGTGTTTTCATTCTGCTTTTGGTTTAAGGAACGCCTCTGTACCATTAAACTAGTCACTTGTTGCTTTCCTTTATTATGACTGCTTTCAGTGGCATTGGTGGCACAAATGATTAAACATTTAACTGCTCATAAAAAAATTTGTGTCTAAACTCCCCCGGTGTCATCTTATAGGAAAAAATCTGACTCCTATAAAGATTTTAGCCTTGGAAGCCCTGTGGGACATTTCTGCTCTGCTTATAGAGTCATGGAAAATCAGCTTGATGGCATACAGCAGTACATTTCCCTCAGCGAACTTAGACTGTGCCAGGATGGGCAGCTGTCCTAGTTACCAGAGTGCTAGGAGGGGAACTTGTACCCTTAACATGTGCTGCATCTGCCACTGACTCACTGCTTTGGTTGCATTTTGCTTTCTCTGCCAGGAGGTGGCACCACCCTTAATAGGAGTTTGATGCATTTTCAGTTAAAATTTCTAACAGAGGTTGCTCTCGTATATCAATATGAAGTTTGTTATTTCATTTGGGAGCCTAATCTACCGGGACTTGTGCTGCTAACCCAAAGGCTGTCCTCTCGGGTGGTTTGAGTCCACCAGTGATTCAGGGTGGCTCTCCTGGTCTATCTCTCTCCAGACGAAGGAACCTCACCCGATAACACCCTTAAAAAATCTACCATTAAGCTTTCTTTCTTTCTTTCTCTCTGGTTCCTCTTAAGTGCTCAACCTAACAATTTTCTTATTTTACTGAAAGTGTCAGATTGTATGAACCCAAAACTATTGCTACATTAAACATAAGATGAAGAGGAGAAAAATTTAAACTTGGAAGTTTTCTCTGCCCTACACCTCAACTGAAAATTCAGGGCTGGGGGAGAATTCTTTACGAAAAAAGAAAACAAACAATAACAAACCAAATCCACCAGTGATTCTGAGGGAGAAAGATAGGGAATCTTTCCTCCAGACATTTTACCTTTAGGCACTATAATGCATATTACACATTGTATTGCCATTGAAAAGCCCACCTTCCAATTGCTAGAAACAAGTAATTGCAGTATAATCTGACACATGCTGTGTCACAGTAGAAAGAGGAAGAAAAAGTATTCCCAGTAGAGGAAACAGTAAGTACAAAGATTATATTATGAAAGAAAATTTTACGTTCAGTAAATAGTGAGAAATTTGATGTGGCTGAAGTGTGCCTTGTGAGGGAAAGAATGGTCAGAGAAGATTTAGGAGAGTTATAAATTTGTCCTGTAAGTAGTCTTCAGAAGGGATTTTTATGCAGAAGAATATGGCATTAGAGTTATCCTTTTTCTCTTGTTGTGTACCATCAAATCAGATCCGACTGGCACAGGAGGAGATTGTCCCTTCTTCTCCAGTGGAACATCTGGTTAGATTTAGCTTTTTAGGCAGTTGGCATATTGGAAGGTGGTCAGATCAGTGACAATGGAAAAGAGAAGAAAGAATTTGGTTGGGAGGCGAATTGGAGACAGAGTAGATGAAACTTTGTTCTCTTTTCTTCTGTGATGATCTATGCCCTTCAAGAAGTAATTTAGACAAAAAAAAAGGTAATTTAGACCAAAAAAAACCTTTAACTTGTTCCCTGTGGGACAAAAGACAGTTTGCTGATAAAGGATTCTCCTTCACTCTATAAGAAGCCTTTCATCTTCGGTGTGAGTGGTCAGACAAGGTTATGGGAAAACAGTAAGAAGTTTCCCTTCTGATTCTGCATTGCTTTTCCTTTGACTTTCCTTTTCATTTATGGGCCTGCCTTAGGAACAGAGACATCTGACACATGAAAATGTACAACGTAAGCAGGCAAGGACAGGAGAAGAGCGAGAAGAGGAGGAAGAAGAGCAGATTAGTGAGAGTGAAAGTGAAGATGAAGAAAATGAGATCATTTATAACCCCAAAAACCTGCCTCTTGGCTGGGATGGCAAAGTAAGTCCTAGCACCACTGCCCCTTACCCTTATGTCCCATTTTGGAAGCAATATAACCCAAGCAGTTATTATCCTAATAACTTTATTTTCTCTCTCCATCTCTTTTAGCCTATTCCCTACTGGCTGTATAAGCTTCATGGCCTAAATATCAACTACAACTGTGAGATTTGTGGAAACTACACCTACCGAGGGCCTAAAGCCTTCCAGCGACATTTTGCTGTAAGGAATTCAGAGCATTTCTCTTGGGAATTAGAATATGAAGCATGAGATCTTGAAGGAAGATGATACAACAGTTTGAGAGGACCTCTGGTATCCAGGGAGGTTTACAAAGGAAGTAGTTACAAAGTCAGGCATATGGCATTTGCCTCAGGCACAGGTGTTAGCCTTAAATAATGTCTGAGGGGTTTTGATTCATGCTACCATTTTCTTATTTAAACCTCATTTCCCTTTTCTCTTACTTAGTCTTATACTACTTCTCTCTCCTTTTTTATTCCCACTAGTCTAATTTCTTAGTTACTTCTCTCCTCAACTGCTATTATTTGGAACTAAAGAGAGTGCTAACTTTTGAGGTTATAAATAAGCCTTGCTTAGTTATAATCTAAGGGGATGCCATTTATTGAATTATTATTTTACTTGTGATTTGAGTGAGCTTATCAGAGCAAATTGAATTTCCTTCCAACAGTTTATATGCTTTTTTTGGTAACCTTGATTCCAGTCCCCATGTTGTAACACCACTCTTCCCACTGTTCTTTTTCCAATTTTCATTTGTTCTTTTCTGTTCCATCCTGCTTTCCGAGTTTTATTTCTAAACACATGCTTTTTGACCTTATATGGTTGGTCATTCTGCGGGATTCATTCCTCCCTGGTTTTTATTGATCACCTTATAGCCCTGTCTGTTGTTTGCCACCAAAAGAACAGACAAATCTACAGGGAAGAAAAAGTGCTCCTTAGAGGCCAGGATGGTGAGACTTTGGGCATACAGGATAGAAGGTCAGCTAAAGAAAGGAAGACCCTCAAGGAGATGAGTTGACACAGTGACTGCCGCAGCAGGCTTGAGCGTGACAGATCATGAGGATGGTACATGAGAGAAGTTTCACATCCATTCTTCATGGTTGTAGTCTCTTTGATGGCATCTCACAACAACATTATTTGGCTAAAAGTTGAGTCACTGAGTGATTGTACGTCCAAGTGTGAAGGGTGATTAAGGGCCATAGACTCAGGAGTTCCACTGATCTCTGTCAGACTTGTTAGCTGTTAGGTGCTGTTGAATTGAGTACGACTCATAGCGACCCAATGAACAAAAGATCTGAACCCTCTTCTGTCCTGCACCATCCTGCTGACTAGTAAGCGTGGTCAGTTTTATGACTGAATTTTGCTTACATTATTCTCACATTCTTGCCAGGGTTTTTTACTGTTACCCTGTCCACAACAGTCAGTAGTGATAGCTGGCACCATCTATTCTGGTGGTCTCAGGATCATGGAGATGAAAGTTCACATAGTCCATTAGTCCTTTGGACTAATGTTCTTATGTACCATTGAATCAATTGACAACATAGCTGACCCTCCAGCGGGTTTTCAGAGCCAGTAAATCACACGAGAGAAAGCAGCTGATGGATTTCAGCTGTGTGCCTTTGCTTTGGTAACGGAATTCCTTAACACTAAGCCACCAGAGCTCATTTGGACTAATAGACTTTGATTTTCTTCGTTCCTTTCTCTGATCAGAAGAGTTGTGCTTCTTATATATCATTGAGTCAAGAAATTGTCAGTAAATGAGGTTACCCCCGTTTTGTTGCTGGCTTTAATTCTTAGCACTTGGAAGAACATTTTTACAGAACAGAAAAAAAAACTTACTGGTCCTAGAATGCAAATTCATGTGAACTGCTTTCTTTCTTCCACACAAATATTACTTATTTACCCTGACTTTTCCACTCAGCCCTTGAGAGTTCTCTGAATCATTCTCAACATTGCCTTTCCAATCAGTTGACATACAGTATAAAGCCCAGGCTGGTTTTCATTCCTGAGCCAGACTGTCCTCACATTACTTTTTATTGTCTACTCTTTTTCACCTTATTTCTTAGACCTGGTAGACCTAACTGTCTTCTCCTTTACCTACAAAGATAATACTGACCTACCAGTAGGTCATAAGGCTACTTGTGCTGATTGTGGAGATGGCTCAGATCACAAAAGAGTCTACTGCAGCATAGGAGGTGATTGGTCAGAGTTCTGTTGTCTGTGGTCCTAAAAAAAAATGTATATGAAAAACTGCTAGATAGAGGATCTGTATTTTCTAAACCAGCTTAAGGAGACAAACCGTGTAGTGATGCTTTGAAATACATACCTTTGCTAGTTATAACCAACTGTTTACAGACATTACCTGAAAAAGGAATCCTACCATTAGGTGGAGTCTTTTACAAAGGGTGTGGTTAAGGTTTATGAATATTTCGTTTTCATCATTTTACATTTTCCTTTTGCTTTTCCCAGGAATGGCGTCATGCTCACGGCATGAGGTGTTTGGGCATCCCAAACACTGCCCACTTTGCCAACGTAACACAGATTGAAGATGCCGTCTCCTGTAAGTCAGCTTCATTTCATTGTCAACTTCTACAGCTCTTTGTCCTGATAACCCTGCTAAATCAGGCCTAAGAGCAATGGATGTGAGTTGTACAAAAACCAGAACAGTTTTGAGGAAAACAAGTTAGCACTGTTAATTTTTCCTGCTTTGAGAAGAGTTCCATGCTGAGTATAAAATTGGAATCTTAACCTGAGATGTGTGAACCCCTTGTATGTAAGATTTTGAGTGAATGGTTGTATTGTAATAATCCTTGATGTAGGATAAGATTCCTTTCTGATCTTATATTGAGTACCTCCTTTTCTTTTTTCTCTTCCATTATTATTGCCTTTTACCAGTATCTTTATGTATATAACATTTGAGCAATCATGAATGAACATCTGAGAATGATAACATCAGCAAATTATGTCTTGCAATGTTGTAACTGGTACTATTTACTAATTAGTTGCACAAAAAAAGAGTTATAAGTGCAATTCATTGTAACTCAAGTTCTAGTTATAACTTCTGAATTATTTTTAACATAATAAATATTGATATAAAAGGAAAAACTATAAAGATAGCATAAATTGAAAATAGGCCATAGGGCAGATACACAGAAATAAAATACCGAGAGAGAGAGAGAGAGACGTGGTCTCATATCAGGGAGTTTGTTGTTAAATCATTAGCAGTTCTCAAACCAGGGTTTCTTATTTCATCCACAGTTTAATGTATTGCTGTTTATCTATGTGGCTGTTAGGATGCCAGGTACATGGGAGCTGTTTTGCACTTGTTTAATCCTTATACCAACCCATGAAGCAGTGGGTGCTACTTGCATGTTCAAATGAGGAGGCTACAACCCAGAAAAGTTAGGTCATTTCCTCAAGGTCACATAACTTACATGTGGAAAAGGCCATATCATACCCATGTCTGTCCTATAAATCTTTTCTCTGCAATATAACATAATTGCCGTGCTTGAAATATCTTCATTATGTTGTGGGTCATCGTTAGAAGTTAGTTGTTCAGGAAAGAAATTGTATGTTAAATGATCAGAAATTTTTAGGACGCTTTGGGTTGTTTCCTGAAATATTCTTGGTAGGCTTATGAATCTCATATTCCATATTCTCAGATGTCCTTATTTAGTTGTCTAAGTTAACCAGTTTATGTGCATGTTTTTATTATTGCTAAGTCTTTGTTTTGCTAGCTCTGTTTATGATGGCTTCTTTTTGTATTTTTAATTTCTCTCAGTAGCATTTTAAATATAGTTTTATGTCTGTCTCAGTATTGTCAGTTTCTCCTTCCATTTTTCCCTACCTTCTATAAGAGTATTTGTAGACTTATTATTTTCTCATTAATCCCCCCACTTTCAGGTGGTGTTTGTCTTTATTTATTATAAATGGTGTTATTCTTTTTTATTAAGTCTTAAGTACAGCTTTTTGCTTTTTAAGCATTTAATAGGCTTATTCCGCTTTGCTTCCCTCTGTAGATGCACCTTCATCTTCTTATTTCTTCTGTTAACCTCAGTTTCCAATGAAAGAAGTGCCAGCCCTCCTTCATACATACTTTGTTTCACGATAGTGTTAGTCCCCACCTTTGTTTTCGCACTCTTGGGTGATTCACTCTGTGTGATTCTGTTTCCCTTCATCCTTTCATCCTCTCCCTTCCTGCCTTCTAAACTGTATTCGTGGGCATATGCTGGCCTATGTTCTTGTGTGGTTGATTGTTTTAAGTATTAAGTGCCTCCTTGATCTCACAGTTCATCTTGTAGATCTGTCAGCTGTTGTCTGACGAAAAGTTGTGCCACAGAGGTGAGTTCAGTTCCAGTCTCAGAGGGTAGCTAAGAACCATTGTCTATGAATTTCTACTAGTCTCTTTCAAATCAGCCAGCCTGGCCATCTTTATGATTCTGAGTTGTGAGCTGCGTTTACCTCCCACTGTCCAGGACCTAGCAGTAGTGGTAGCTGAGCGCCATCTAGTTCTTGCTTTTAGGGTTGTGGAAGTTTGACGTTTGGAAGGTCCATGACTGCACCTTAGATACTGCTCTCAAGTTTTTAAGTTCCAGTCACTTCTCATCAATGTATAGTGTTTATAACATTGACTTTGTGACCTCTATTCATCTTGGCATCATTCTTAATTAAGACTTGTGTAATTCTTTCCCTGTGTGTCTGCCTTACTTGCTTGCTCTCCTTTGTAGTGGTTTCTACAGCTCTTTTTTCTTGTTTGTGGGATAATTTATCATTGAACTGCCAGAATTTTGTTTTTAATATCTCTAATTTTGTTGAGCCCTCTTACCTTTTAGGCTCTTTGTCTGTGGTGCCGTGCCTCTTTTTCTCTGATACGTTTGCATCAGACTTTAAGTAGCTTTATTTGACAGTATTTCCCTACTTTCTTATAACCACAAAGACAGACCACTTTGTGCCATATCAATTAAGTTTTTCAAGAGCTTAAGTTTTCTAATTTATTGGATCTTTAGCTAGATTTGATCTAATTTTCCTTCAGAGCAAAATGAAAATTCCAGTGTAATAGGGCAAACAAGCCCTATTATTATTATTGTTGTATTATTATTGTAACAAGCCCTATTGTTGGATGCTGTCAGGTTGAGTACAGTTCATAGTGACTCCATGAACAACAGACCTGAACCCTGCCCTATCCTCTGCCATCCTAACCATCTCTGACATACTTGAGCCCATTGATGCAGCCACTGTGTCAATCCATCTGGTTGAGGATCTTCCTGTGTTTTACCGACTCTCCACCTTCACAAGCATGATGTTCTTCTCCGACGAATACCCTTTCCTAGCAACATGCCCAGAGTATGTGAGACACAGAAGGGTGTTGGTTGTGGATCCAAGTAAGATGAAGTCGTTGATAGTTTCACTTTTTACTCCATCTATTTATTATGCCCATCAATCCAGTGGTGAGAATTTTTGTTTCTTTCTTTCTTTTTTTTTTTTTAAATTTTTGTGTGCGTGTACCGTCAAATCAGATCTGACTGGTACAGGAGGAGATTCCTCCTCCTTCCCCGGCAGAGCATCTGGTGGATTCGAACCGTGCGCCTCTGGGATTGTAGTTGCAGCTCCTTGCCACTAGGCCACCAGAGAATTTTTGTTTCTTTTGACATTGAGATGCAATCGATATTGAATTCCGTGGTCTTTAATCTTTTGCAGCAAGCACTTCAAGGTGTTCACTTTGAGCATATAAGGTTGTGTCGTCTACATAACTTAGGTTGTGATGACTCTTCCTCCAATTCTGATGCAATATTCTTCATAATGTATAGCTTCTGGAATAATTTGCTCAGTATATAGATTAAATAGATATGGAGAGAGTATACAAGCCTAATGGACACTTTCTTCATTTTAAACCATGTCGTGTTCCCTTGCTCCATTCACACAGCAGCCTGTTGGTTAGGTTTCGTATTGAGCAAGTGTTTGAGATTCTCTTTCCTCTCAATGTTTCCTCTCAATGTTAACCATAATTTGTTATGATCTAGGATCCATCTGCTATCAGCAGTGATATCCATGGTGACACAACCTCTTCTGAACCCAGCTTGAACTTCTGACAGTTCTGTGTACTCTTCTAACCATTTTTTAATTGTCTCCAGCATACTTAGCTTATATGTGATATCAGTAGAGGAGGTCAATATTAGCAGTCAAAACCAAGCCAGGTGCAGTTGTGGTACAGACTATCAATTACTCATGTGCAGGTTCAAATTAAAGCTGAAAAAATATTAAAACAAGTCCAGGACAACCAAAATATGACCTTGAGGTTTTTTCCATCTAATTTTTAAAAATCATATTAAGAATAGGTTTGAGGCACTGAATACCAGTGATCGGACACCAGAAAAATTGTGGGATGCAAGGATATCATCCATGAAGAGAGCAAAAGGTCAGTCACTAAAAAGAAGAAAATGAAAAAACACAAGCATATCAGAGGAGATTGAAATTTGCACTAGAGCATCAAAAAGCCAGAACAAAAACAAAGGAAAGAGATGCTGAAGTAAAAGAGCTGAATAGAAGATTTCATAAGGTAGCTTGAGAGGACAAAACAAAGTATTACAATGAAATGTACAGAGTGCTGGAGTTGGAGAATAAAAAGGAAAACACTCACTTGGTATTTTTCAATCCTAAAGAACTGAAAAATGAATTTACGCCTCAAGTTGAAATACCGAGGGTTGCTGTGGGCAAAATCTTGAATGATCAGGAAGCATCAGAAGAAGATAGTATACACAGAATCACTGTACCAAAAAGAATTGGCTTGCACTGAAATATTTGGAGATGTACCATATCCAAATTGGTGATGAAGCAGTTCACACTGCACAAAGTGCATTGACAAAAAATATGGCCCCAGGAATTGATGGGTCACTAGGTGATGTGTTTCACCGAGTAGATGCCGTCCTGGATGTGCTCACAAGTATATGCCAGGCAGTTTGGGGGATATCTGCCTGGCTAATTTACTGGAAGAGATGCATGTAAGTTCCTATTCCCAGGAAAGGTGATCCAACAGAATGTGAAAATTATCAAACAATGTCACGAATATCACATACAAGCAAAATATTGCTGAAGATTTTATAGTTAGGGCTTAAATAATTCCTGACTAATTAGGGAAGCCCTAAAAAAGGAGAGGGTGGTGGTGTTGAGTACCATCAAGTCAGATCTGACCCATTGCTTACCCTCCAGTGGGTTTTCAGAGGCAGTTAACCCCACGGGAGAAAGTTGTCCATTCTTCTCCCGTGGAGCAGCTAGTGGATTTGAAGTGCATGCCTTCAGTATTGCAGTGCCGATTCCTACCATTAGGCCACCAGAACTCCTTAAAGGAGAGGATGGGAGTTATAACACTGTCCCTGGTGGCTTCATATTTCATCTTGACTGCTGCTTGTTTCTTATCTCGTAGTGTGGGCCAAGCTGAAGCTGCAGAAGGCATCAGAACGATGGCAGCCCGACACTGAGGTGAGTGCAAACATTGGGGATGGCATCAAGTGATGGAGCTTTTTCATCATGTAGAAGAAGGGAAAGGAGGGTCCTTGGTCTTGGTAGCATCTAACATAAATTGGTTATAATAGATACAAACTGTAGCTCTTGACATGTAAGCCTGATTGGTAGTATTTTAATATTCTTGACTTTAAATCTCTCTCTTAAGATAAGTTGTATCCACTTCCTTTTGTCGTGGCAAGCAGGAGTACTCAAAATTTTGTCCTACAACAGGGACCCTAAGCCAGAAAGTTGAGAATCTTTATGTTCAGTCTCATTTGAGGAAAGTATCTGATGCAAGGTGATCCTCTGGTAGGGGTTGAGGACCATTCTTGCTGAATACTTGTGCTTCAACAGCAGGTTTCAGAGATGGAGGATGATGTGTATGGGAAGTGTAGTAGTAACTCATCCCAATCCCACAATGACAGGCAAGTTTTCCTTTCTCTTAGGTCAGTGGTTTTCAGTATTTTTGTTTTAAAACCACAAAATCCTTTGGAAAAATGTGATGGGGAACTTCTATATATAAAACTGAATAAAGCAGAACTTGTCTGTAGGAAAGATCAATCTTTGCCTCCCTAGGCCTCATCAACAGGCTTGGAAATTATTTGAAAACTGTTGTCTAGATCAGCTTTTCTCCACTCGAGATTTCCTCATTTGGAGCAGAAGGTGATGTGAATGGTGATTTCCTCACATCTTCCAAGGATAGGTCATAACTTGTACCAGTCTAGCTCTCTAGCAAAGAAGTTAATTCACCATAGAAAGATGCCTCAGGGCAGTAGGACTTATTCTCTGTGGGACCCCAGTTGAGAAGAGCTGTCTTAGATGAACATAGAAATTGGAGTACCAAGATGTGCCTGTGGAGTCAGGCCAGAGTGAGCAAAAGTGCCCAGAAATTAGTTCCAGACATTTCCCTCGGGGCATGTAGCTCACAATGTGTAACCTCCTTCCTTTTTAGGAAGAGTATGAAGACTCCAGTGGGAATGTTGTGAATAAGAAGACGTACGAGGATCTGAAAAGACAAGGACTGCTCTAGTGTTGAAATTTATCTCTGTTCCAAGCTCCCCAGAGATTGACTTTTTGTACTTTTCCTCACAAAATGCTCCTAAGGACTCTTTGCTACGTAGTCTTGTGGCCTCGCATGCATCTTGTGAAAACAAGGCGTGCTGGCAGATTGCAGGGTTGATATGTGTTTTATATTAAAAGAATTGTCAGAAAATAAAACCAGCATTTGTTCTGAAAGTATCTTGTTTTGAAGCCCAGAGTTAATCCTTTAGTTCTCAGCACATCCTTACCCCTTTCCCACCAAATTACGTGTCAGCTCTAAGGTTCACCAAGCACCTATTACATTTAGGTAGACGGGACTTAATCTCTTCTCTTCTCCCTTTTGCTGCCACTTCACTAAATTAGTAAGAACCAAGGTAAGTCATGGTGAGTCATTCATCCATGCACACACACTGGGGAAAGGTGGGGAGAACTTGCCAAGAGCTCTCTGGAGGTCAAAGTTGTAACACCAAAGTTTGCCTTTCTAAATATCCTGGCTCTGCAGCTCTTCCCCCTGACCACTCCTTTGCAGCCTGCAACACAGCTGAGCTAAGACCACCGTCATCTCTTTGCTCTGAGTTCAGAATGAATTTGTACTTTGATTATCCTATTTCCTCTACAAAACTCCTATGTGACTTTTTATTGTGTTCTATCCTTTCCACCCCTGTGATTCGGTAGGACAGAATAGAACTGCTCCCTAGCATTTCCAGGGCTGTAATCTGGAAGCAGACTAGCATCTAACTCCTGTGGAGTGGCACTGGTTTTAGACCCCCAGCCTGTTGGTAAGCAGTCATGTTATTTAACCACTGCAACACCAGGGCTCCATATTTGCCTTTAAAAGTGGCCATAGTGCTGATCAAAGAATTTGAGAAGCTGGGCTTTATGAAGAAATCTTTATGAAGTGGTATCAGGATGGGAGGGTGACTTCTTAATAACCTTATGCAGATGATACAACCTCACTTGCTGAAAGTAAGGACTTGCTGCAGAAGCTCAAAGACTGCAGCCTTCAATATGGATTACATCTCAACATCAAGAATACAAAATCCTCACCACTGTTCTGATAGGCAACATCATGATAGATAGAGGTAGACTGAGGTTATCAGTCATTTCAATTTACTTGGATCCTACAATCAACATGATGGTCAAGAAATCAAAAGATAGGAAGCTCTGGTCACCTAGTGTAAGAAGCTGCACTGCAATTCTAGAAGTACGTGGTTTGAATCCACCAGATGCACTGCTTGAGAAGGAGGGGCAATCTCATGTACCAGTCAGGTCTGATTTGACGGTACACATACAAAAAGAATAAAATTTAAAAAATCAAAAGATGTGTAGCTTTGGGAAAAAACATGCAATCAAACTTTTTGTGGGTTTCTTTGTTTGGTTTGGTTTTTTTTTTCCTTCACTCATTTGCCATTGAAACATCCAGCTGGCACAGGAGGAAATTGCCCTTTTTCCAGAGCATCTGCTGGATTCAAACTGCGACTATCAAACTCTTAAAGTGCTAGTGTAGTAGTAGTAAAGTAGTGCAAGTGGAGGGAGCTTTGGTGGCTTCTTGTTGTTATATGCCGTCCAGTCACTTGCAACTCATAGCGACCCTATGTATAACAGCCCTAAACCCTGCTCTATCCTGTGCCAATCACACTGGCTCCAGCACACCCATACCAATTACCCCAGTCAATGAATCAATCTATCTCATAGTCTTCCCCTCCTGTGCTGTCCCTCCACCCTCCCAAGTATGATGTCCCTCTCCAAGGACCGGTCCCTCCTTACAACATGTCCAAAGTATGTTAGACGAAGCCCTAGGACCCTTGCCTCCAAGGAGCCACCCAGTTTAACTCTCCAGGATAAATCTGTTTGTTTTGGCAGTCCATGGTATATTTAATACTCTTCTCCAGCACCACAGCTCAAAGGCATCAATTCTCCTATCCTTCCTAGTAATTGTCCAACTCTCTGATGCATAATAAGTGATTGCAAAGACCATCGCCTGTATCAGATGCACCTTAGTCTCCAGAGTGACACCATTGTTCTTTAGTACCCTGGAGAGGTCCCTAACAGCAGACTTTGCTGAGCCCTGGTACAGGAGTGCTACCTCTAACCAGGTAGAAACTTTTTTTTTTACTTTTATTGGGAAAAACATAATGGGGGTACAAGGAGGTGAGGATTGGGGGCAGAAGGGTGAGGATTGGGGGCAGAAGGGTGAGGATGGGCAGGGGTGCAGTTGCAGAGCTGCACAATTTGGTTGGTGGGGGGAGCAGGTGAAGGAAATTAAAAGGATCCAGTGGGGACCAGATGCTACAGGGGAATGGTAGGCATTTTCCAATGGCAGTTAAACCAACTGTCTTATTGATTTGGGAACTGGATGCAGACTCTCTGGCTTCTTCATGCTGAACAGGGGCGTTGATGTAAAGGGGGAAAGGGAGGACACTATATCACCTTACTGGTGGTCTTGGGTTAAAGCTGCTTGCCTTCTTGTTCTGTTAGAAGGTATTTTCCTGTCATTTACTCCCCTCTGGACTGCAAAGTGTTTTCCCAGGTAGGTCCAGTGGGGATGGCTGGTTGAACCCAGAGGCTCCATCCTCTTTTGCTTCTTTAGCTGGCAGTTGTATTTCCTTTTTGTCACTGGCACTGGGTTCAGGGTCAGGTCTGGAGTAAAACTCAGTGTTAAAGTTACCTATAGGAAAGGGAGCAAACCATCCATCCTGAGCGAGGGAATCCATAGGTTTCGGCTGTGGGAGCCTCATGGAGCTGCGATGGAGGTGCAGTGCGGCTAGGTGCGGGCTCTGTGGGAGGGGGTTGGGAGTTGCGAGACTCAACCCATTCCTCCTTGGGAATCCTTGAATTCCTGTTGTTGAGCCTCGATCTTCACTGGAGACCAGTCATCAACTGTTTAACTGTTCAAGTATCAATAAACAGAGGTCTGTAGAAGGCCATAGTGGCCCTGCTCCAAGTGGTCTGCTGCTCCCGCAGCTCACCACATTGTCTCTGCCTCCGCCGCCATCTTGGATCCCGTGTAGAAACTTTTACTTCAACCAAGAACCAGGGCAGGGGGCAGGGGTGACCAGAGCCTCTGCTCAGGGCCATGGCTGGAACAAAAGCAGCTGCTCTGCCAGTCTGCCTGTTTCTGCTCCTGTAGCAAGTCAGCATTAGCTGAAGAACTGATGCCTCTGAATTGTGTTGTAGAACAGCATTGAATATACTATAACCTTCCAAAGGAACAAACAAGTCTGTCTTGAAGAGTGCTCTTTAGAGGCAAGGATGGTGAATGAAACTTCATATTACGGGGCATATTCTCAGGAGGGCCTGGGAAAGGTGGAGGGTCAGAGAAAGAAAAGACCCCTCAACATGATGGAATGACACTGTGACCGCCACAGCAGGCTTTAGTATGACAGATCGTGAGGATGGTACAAGATAGAGCAAGGTTCTTACCTGTTTATTGGGTCACTGTGAGTCATAGTTGACTCAAAGGCAAGTAACAGCAACAGCTAGAAAGCATAAGCCCTTTAAGTCCCTGGGCTCACTGTCAGCCAATTGCTCTTTAATGAAAGACTACCCAGTCCACAGTTCTGGGCCCAAGCTAATTTTGGAGGACCTGAATGCAGTACTCTGATGCCAGCGGGAGGCTGGAAAAACAACCCTGCTTGGGAAAACAGTTTTCCGTGGGAGAACCCTAAGTTCTTTAGGAATGGTTCTCTTATCTGTAAATGGTGCTTGGTCCCATTCACTTCCCTCAGACCCTCCTCCCCAGGCTTCAGCATTCTTAATTTTCTGATACTATTATGGTGACCTAGTGATGAGAAGCTGCGCTGCAATTCCAAAGCCATTCCGGTTCGAATCCACTGTTGGCTCTACAGGAAGATGGGCAGTCTCCTCCTATGCAATTAGCTGCCTTGAAAACCTACCAGAGGGTCAGCGACGGGTCAGTTCCAACTCGACAGTACAACACAAGGTGGCAGAAATAGAAAACTCTGGTGGCTTAGTGGTAAGATGCTGCGCTGCCAATCCCAAAGGCATGTGGTTCAAATCCATCCACCTTAGGGATCACAACACAGCTTCTTCACCCTCTGCATTAATAGTACCTCATTAATAGGGGGGAAAATCCACTCCCACATGGGATTATAACCATAGGTGTTATATGTTGTGGGTTGGAATCATTCATAGCTGACCCTCCAGTGGGTTTTCTAAGGTTGTAAATTGCATAGGGTCTAGTGGTAAGAAGCTGCAGTGTAATCCCAAAGGCACATGGCTTGAATCCACCAGGTGTGCCACAGGAGAAGGATGAATAATCTCTTGTGTGATGAACTTCCTCTGAAAGCCTACTGGAAGGTCAGCTATGGGTTGGTTCCAATTTGACAGCAAACAACAAATTACATGAGAGACTGCCCATCTGGGTTGGCAGCTCAACTCATTACCACGAGGCCAAACCACAGGTATGTTGTTGTTAGGTGGTGTTGATTACAACCCACAGTGACCCTATGAACCACAGGTACACAGGGATAGGAGTTCTTAATGTACACTACCTTCCTGATTGAACAATTAGTTCTTTTTAGTACATTGACTCTATTTCCCTTTTTTTATCTATCTCCTTTTGAGGCCTCCTATATCTTAAAAATCAGGTGCACCTGATTCAGACCATGGTCTTTTCAAACACTTGCTATGCATCTGAGTGCTGGACAGTGAATAAAAATGATGGAAGAATTGATGCCTTTGAACTGTCATGCTAGATGGAAGAGAGTACTGAATATCCCATGGGCTGTCTAAAGAACGGATAGGTGTTAGAGAAGGTGGAGCCAGATTGCTCCTTGGAAGCAAGGATGGCGAAGCTTCATCTCACATACTGTGGGAATACAGCTGGCTATTCCATGGAATACAACATGCTTGGAAATGTGGAGGGGCAGCAAAGGAGAGAAAGACCCTCAATCAGGTGTACTGACACAGAGACTGCAGCAGCGGCCTTGAGTGTGTCAGAGATGTGAGAATGGCACAGGAGAAGACAGGGTTCAGTTCTGCTGTCCATGGGGTCACTGTGAGTCATGCTAACAACATGGCACCTAACATCTTAAAACATTTCGCCCATAGCAATTACAACCCTTAAATATTCCAACTCAAAGTTTGAATTTTCCCTTCAGCTTCAGAAATGCGGAGTATGCAAAGACTTGCACCTAGAAAACAAAATGGATGAACCATGGAAATTCCT